GCGGTATTCCCATGAGATTTTAGGTTAGCTAAGGTTTCCACTTTTAGATAGAGAAAATCTCTTTGTTGCTCTCGAGGTTATTTTTTCGATAGTAGTATTGCAATGGAAAAGAAAGTATTGATCGACGGTGTTGCTTGATCAGGAGAGCGAGTTTAAAAGATAATATCGGTGATGGTCTTTTACCAATGTTTATAGAGAAGTATATCTCCTGTTACCCAAAACAGTAATATTTATTGTGATAGTGGATTTCTTGTTGTCGAGACTATAGATGCAACCCTACGGGGTGATGCATATAAATTATGTGTTGTGGTGGTGTATTTTTTTTATGTTTGCTTTATTTCTTGCACTCAAGTTATAATTGTTTTCACCTATTTTGTATTTAGCCAATCATATACACGATCTTAGGTGGGATCCCGGTATTTGGGATTCCCAATTCCACAAGCTAGGGGTTCTCTAATAACCCTATAATTGGTATCATGGCATAAGGTGCGTACGGGGCTAAGACTTGAATTAAGAAATAGATGAATGGCAAAGTTTAATAGATACATATTATGAAGTGGAGAAATATGAATGTAAAGAGTTTGTGAAAATTCTACAATAAATGTAAGAGAGAAAAAATCGAAAAATCTATTCAATGAAAGTTATCAAGACAATTCTATTTAATGAAAGTTAGCAAAGCAATTATAGTGATTTTGATATCAACGTGGAACAATAATTAGTCTATTGGAGATGCGGAGAAAAGTTATTATCAATATTAAGCGGTGGGTTTAGATTTCTATCAATGGAAAGAAGCCCGTAAGTACAGGTAAATGGTCTCAAACCTGCCGCGAGGAGTCCACTTGAGAAATAATAGAAGAGCACGTGGAGACATTCTCTATGTTTCAACATTTTAAAGGAAAATGGTTTTATAAGTATGTAGCCCTATCAAATAAGTAAATTCTCACCTCATAACTCATCAAAAATTGTAAGTTAAGTATTGGAAAACCTTTACATCAATCGTCTCGACTTGCAAAAAATTAAAATTTAAAAATAGTATATATTACAATATTATCTACACCATCTATTTTGCTTTAAAAAATAAGTGTTCATATATCTGTAAGATCTATACTTTTTTTTTAAAGTCAAATTTTATTGTCAGTATTGAAAATTGATTTTAGAGCTATCATATATATTTCTATCACCGAAAATACTTTCCAAACGGGGATTTGAGATAAAACTTTATTTTGTTTTTTTATAAAGCCAAGGCCATACAAAAACCTCTTCCCTTTCTAAATGAGATTAAGGTAGCAAAGTTAAAACATTTCTAGGTAGAGAGAGAGAGAAAAGAGTTTTGCAGTGTCCAGTATAGAATTGGCGCTTCTCCCCCCTATATGGAGAGAGAGAGAGAGAGAGAGAGAGAGAGAGATTTAGAGAGAGAAACAGAGGGTTTTTTTTAGAGAGAGAAAGCGCGTACTCTGAGCTACAGTTTGACTATAGAGAGAGAGAGAGGGGTGCATTGAGCTACAGTTGGACTAAAGGGTTTTGCAATGTCCAAGGCAGAAATGGCGTGTCTCCCACTCGATTTGGACGGTCCAACAAACAGAATCATACGTAATTGCACTGCTGCTTTTTCCAAGAGAACCCCTAACTAATTATTTCAGGGATCAAGTTTTCAACAACACGATATGCCCAAAAAAACAAATAAATATGATTATAAAACACATGAATACTGTAAATTATAAAAGAATGAGGGGCATGCCCTTTGCTTTATTTTTTACATACGAGTAAGAACATTCTTCCCATTTCTTTCTACTCTCTCTTTTTTCCCATTTCTTTTTACTCTCTCTCACATTCTTCCCTATTCTTTTTACTCTACATATATTCTATTCTATTGGTGTATATTGTCTATTTATTTTTCCGGATACAACCCCATTAAAGATTTTTGGGATATAATCTCATTAACACATAGATTGACCTCAATAAAAAAAAATTCTTTAGTGTACCCTCTACGCATTTGGAAAATAAAAAAACCTAAATAATGAATAAAAACCATGTAAATTTTAAAGTGTGAGATCTAAGTGTACGAAAACTCAAATTTCAATTTTTTTTTCTCTTTGAGAATAACCATCTAGTGATTCTTAGATGGTTGCCAAATTTTCAAATTAAAAAATCCTCCCGATGAAGTCATTTGACCAAAGGAGTAAAAGCAATCTATACTCCCCTGGAAAAATAATATATATACCATTACCAAGGAGCACACACGAGAGAGAGATGCGGCATTAAAAACGTTAGGAGACATAAAGAAAAGGTGGAGAGAGTGAGACTTTGAGTGGTAATATCACTAAATGAGATGATGGAAATCTCGTTGACTCCTTTAATAAAAAACACAAGTGATTGAGTACCTTAATACTTTCTTTATTCTTAAAGCTTTGTAGACATTCATATTCTTTCGCCTTTTTTGTGACACGACAAGAACGAAAGGGGCTCAAAAAAATTGGGAATGAGGTAGACTCACACTATTTTTATGAAGTCTCCTTACAAAATATATCTTAAAGATGTATTTTCAATTCAAAATTTTAGAGTTTAATAATCTCGACCATGATCTAAATTTGGAATTCTTATTTTTAAAAAAATATGAATGTTATTTTTTTTTATAAAGGGATTGTTTATAACGAGATCATTTAACTTTTTTGCATAGACATCACAATCATTTTTATACCTCAAATTTCAAAATGGATGGTTGTAAGAGTATTTTTTAATAGACATAAAGTTTCAAAAAAAAAATTCGGATTTCGTGACTTATCTCAAGCCATCCAATCTGAAATCTAATGAGTGGTAATCGATATGGCCTCTATGTACAAGAGAGAAATGGTCTTTTTATAGATAACTTTTTTAAGTTCTTTTATTCACCGTCCTTCAAACTTTTAGATGACGTGACATTTTTTTATGGACACGATTTTTATGTGGCCAGTTCGTATATTGTAGAAATACGGGCTTGGCAATAAATATATTTTTTAAATATAATTTGATCTTGACTTTTAAAAAATATGTATTCTTTAACATGAAAATCATAAATAAATAAAAAAATTAAAAATTAAAAATAATAATTATATTAAAAAAATATTTAGACCATTAATTATAATTGTTTTTAAATAGACTACCTATTTGCATCCATTTTTTAAAAAAAATGCTTTATTCCTCTGCATAAATGCGATCTAACCGCTTGAAACAACTTTCCTTTTTTGACATCCACCTTAGAGATGGACGTCAGATAGAGCAGGGACTGCACGAGAATAAATGAGTTGGCTGACTCACCAAAACCGTATACTAACAAAAATCTCGTAGTGGTGGGCCTTGACACCAAGAGATATGGATCAGATAGAGAGAGAGAAAGTAGAGAGAAGTGTGTGAAAATGGAGCTCGACACCTTAATTATACACTTGGTTCAAAGGTCGCTGTTAAAAATTTGGTGGACTTTTTTTTCAACTTGAACAAGAGTATGATTTACTCAAAAAAGACTACTTCCATTTTCCTGCCATAAACCTACGAAGATGCCTAAAAATTAAAGGGTGTGATTTGTATAAGATTGCAACCTTAAACAATCAAAATAAAGTGCACTTTCAAACTTTGTTATGTGATGTAATTTTGGTATTAAAATTTTCTAAAATGGTGTGAGAATTTATTTTTAACTTTAATAATAAAACTTTAATCTTCAAAAATGGTTCAAATCAAGCAGATCTATAAGCATAGGAAAATCTTGAAAATGGACGGTCAAAATAATGTATTGTAAAATGTAGTATTTTTAGGACTTTGAATCTCTTTTTTTCTCTATATACATAGCAAAATCAAGATGATCAATTATATGTTTTTCCAACATCAAAACAACCTTTTTCGAAGGATTTTAGAAACACACCTTTGTTCTACATTTTAAGGGGTCAATCTTATATAAATTTTTTCAGAATTAGATATTGCTAATTATAATAATAATTAGATAAGCATCGGCAATATGGAAAAATAAAACAAGGTTCTATAGGGAATTAAGGGACCTATAAAAATATTAAATAAGTTTAAAAAAATAATAAAAACAAAAATGAGAGTTTTATAGGGGATCGTCCCCATATTGAAAATTTCTTCGAACTAGTTCGATCCCTTCCAATTCTCGATGGTGATCAATAATTCTCAATCCAAATTAGTAGGTTATCAAAGTATCAATGATTGAATATATCAAACCAACCTAAAAATTGCTTTTCAAATTTCATTTAATAAAGAAATAAAATAATGTAATAATGAATAAATGGGTGTAGTTTCTATAAGGCTGCAACCTTAAACAATCCAATTAAGACGCACTTTCAAATTTTATCATAACATGAAATTTTGGTGTAAAAAATTCTTAAGATTATCTCAAAATCTATTTTCATATCTAATTATAAAATTGTAAACTCCAAAACGGTTAAAATCAAGTAGATCTATAAATATATGAAAACCTTGAAACTAAACCGTCAAAGATAATATGTCGTAGGATGCGCTATTTCTAGAACTTAAAATCTTTGTTGTTTTTATATATCCATACGTATCGAGATGATCAATTAAAAGATTTTTCAACATTAAAAGTTATTTTATAAACAATAGTTTCGAATAAATTTTTGAATTGCATCTTTAAGTCTACATTTTAAGGATGCAACCTTATATAAAAATTTTCCTAAATAATAAGGCAATTATAACTTAGTCGCTTTTCTTCATTGCCGTTGCCTTCCCGCCTTGTTCAAACGTAAGACGCCCTCCTCTTCTTCGGCATCCCAACGCCCTCTTTTTCTTTTGCTTTTTATATTTACTCTCTCTCTCGCTTTTTCCGGTCCTGGTTTTGATGTCCCTCTGCAACTTTACTCTCCACCTTCATTGGGCCCCTCTTTTTAACTGCTAATAATACCCCCTGTCGCCCACTAAAGACCACCACCTCTCTCTATATATCTCTCTCACAGTAAAAGCACCACATCTCTCTCTCTCTCATCTCTTTCCCCCTTTCTCTCTGCAACTCCCAAATCCCATCTCTCTCTCTCTCTCTCTCTCTCTCTCTCTCTCTCTCTCTATTATAACTAGTATAGCGTGCTGTCATCCATTAAAACTTCCCCCTGTCCCTGCAACGCCTGAAACCTATTCCTCTAACCCGTTGTCTCTCCCTCTGCAATTTCCATATCCCATCTGTCGCGCTTTTCTCTCTGCAATTCCCAAATCCGATCTCTCTCTTTTTAGCCTCCAAATCCCATCTCACTTCTCTCTCTCTCTCTCTCCCACTCTCACTCCCTATGTCCGGCTTTAACTACTAGCGGGCTTATTTCCCACTTAATCTCTCTCTCTGATACTCATACACATACCTCTCTCTCTCAAACAAACAGATACATTTTAACTACTAATAATTCCCTACTGTCACCCACTAAAACTCATCCCCCTCTTTCTCTCTGCAAATCCCATGCCCCATTTCTCTCTCTCTCTCTAAACAACCTCTGCAACTCCCAAACCCCATGATTTGCCCCATTTCCAAACTCTAAAACACCATCAAACCCAAACCCAAAAGGGAAAAAAGGAAAAAAACAACAAAAAAGGAATACACAATCAATGGCTTCTCGCCCAATTCCTGCATCCACTACTCATCTCTCTAAAACCAAATTTAGGATTCTGACACTCTGCTTAGCACTCACAGCTTCAGGTCTCTTTCTCATAGGCTTAATAATCATTCTCTTCTATCTGTACAAAACCCTCTTCTCCAAACCCTCGAAAACCAGTCCCTTCGATTCCTCTACCTCTGCAAATAGGCTCCACCATTTCTCGTATAATGAGCTGAAACTCGCCACCAATTCATGGACCAATGAGCTGGGTCGAGGCTCCACTGGTTCAGTTTTCATGGGGTCTCTCAAAGATGGTAGACAAGTTGCAGTGAAAAAACTCAGGCCTGATATGCCTCTCTGCGAAAGAGAATTTCAGAATGAGCTCTCCATTTTAGCAGGTTTGAATTCACCATTCATTGTCTCTCTTCTTGGTTATTGCATTGATAAGAAGAGGAGGCTTCTGGTCTATGAGCATTTGCCTAACAAAAGCTTACAAGAAGCTCTCTTTTCAAGCCCCATGGTTCTTGACTGGGAGAAGAGATTCAAGATCATTATTGATATTGCAGAAGCCTTAGGGTTTCTGCATCTTCAGTGTGATCCGCCCATTGTTCATGGTGATATCAAGCCTAGCAATGTGCTTTTGGACTCTAATTTTAGGGCAAAAGTTTCGGATTTTGGGCTTTCTAGGGTAAAGAATGAAGGTGAATTTGGGATCGATCTCTTTAGCCAAGAACTGGTAGGTAAAAGCCAAGAGCTATGGAAGAGTCAGGAGCTCATAGGGAAGAGTCAGGAGCTATGGAAGAGCCAAGATCTCGGAAAAAATTGCAGAGGAAAACCCAAGTCCGAGATTTCTGATCACACTGTAAATCAAGTTGCAGAGACTGCGAATTTGGCTTCTGATACAGAGGTAGACTTTGCCCTAGCTTTACAAGCTTCTTGTAGCCATAGCAGATTGGAATTGAGCCCAAAAAACTGTGATTTTAATGGATTTTCTACAAATGGTGAGGATGGGTTGGCTTCAAATTTGAAGGGGAAGGAGGTTTCAATTGAACCTGAAGACTCAGAGGATGAATTGTGTAGTTTTGATCATAGCAAAGAGCTAAGCAACGCATCACCTGTGGATACTAAGCAATGGGGTAAAGATTGGTGGTGGAGACAAGATGGAAGTGGTGAACTTTGTAGCAGAGATTATGTAATGGAGTGGATTGGTAATCAGATTTGCCCATCAAGAAATCCAGATTGGGATGACAAGAGAAGTCCTGAAAAACCAGAGAAAGAGGAAGTTGCAGAGATCACAAAGAAAACCCAAGTTGTGGAAATGGCTCGCCATGACAGGGAGCTAAGCTTCAATGAAAATGGTAGCACCCACAAATTTAGAGGAGCAAAGGGAAAATGCTCAGCTAAAGACAGCAAGAAGAACAGGAAGATCAAGGAATGGTGGAAAGAAGAGTATTTTGCAGAGATGAGCAAGAAGGGCAAGAAGTTGAGGAAGCTCGATAAGAATCGGAGGAGTTTCAGGCTCCTGAGTTGCTTAAAAAAAACCGGCTTTTTGGGGGAAAACCAGATTGGGAAAGAAAGCAAATGGGGCAGTTTTAGGTTTCCAAATTGCTTAAATAAAAATGGGTTCCCAGGAGAAAACCGTATAGAGAAAGAAAACAACTGCGAAGGGAGCAATAAAGATGGGGAATTAAGCTTTGGTAAGAACTGGAGGAGAAAAAGAAATCGCTCAACTGCTAATAGTGAGCTATGGAGTGGCGATTTGTTCAGTCGAGAGCTAAGTAGTACCACGAGCATGAGGGGAACTGTGTGCTATGTAGCCCCTGAATATGGTGGGTGTGGATACCTAATGGAGAAGGGAGATATATACAGTTTTGGTGTTTTGATACTGGTTATTATCTCAGGTAGAAGGCCATTACATGTTTTGGCCTCACCCATGAAGCTTGAAAAAGCAAATTTGGTGAGTTGGTGCAGGCAATTAGCTCAAACTGGTAATACATTGGACCTTGTTGATGAGAGGTTGGGTGATAAGTACAATAATGATCAAGCAAGTTTGTGCATAAATTTGGCTCTAGTTTGTTTGCAAAGAATGCCTGAGCTGAGGCCTGATATTGGGGAGATATTGAGAGTTTTGAAGGGAGAGATGGAGCTATCTTTGCTTCCATTTGAGTTCTCACCATCCCCACCTTGTAAGCTATATAGCAGGTCAAGGAGGAGACAGACAATGGACACTGAGTAAATTTCTTTTCACTTCTTTTTTATTTGATTTTCTTTGGTTTTTTGGTTTGGCTTTCTTGAGATATCTCTGTTTTCAGAGGCTTCTTTGGTTGTAACATAGACTGAGATACTGGTTTACCTGAAAAGAGAAATAGGTTTCTTGTTGAACGCCCGAGACTATGAACTGATCAGAAATCTCTCTCTAAAGATAGAGAGAAGTTCATTGCTCAAGAAACGCTGCTCTTTATGAAGAGAAAAACATGGGTTTTACCTGAATCTCCTTTAATTATGAACTGAGGTTATTTTTTGCTAGGATTCATTATCTACAAATACAATTGTTGACATGATTCTTCTGTCATTTTTTATTCTTTTGTTTGATCTTTTTTCATGATTTTCAATTGTACATGCTTGAATCTCATAAGCTTATGGTTTCACTTGATTTGCTTGTTCTTGATTCTTAATTGGCATTGCTATTTTCTATGGCAAGACAGTGATGCTCTCTCTGAATCCCTGAACCTGAAAAGGGTCATGAAATATGGAGCAAATAATCCCTTTCATTGAAACTGGGCATGTGATGTAAGACTTTTCAGTGATATGAAGCCTTCGCCTTGCCTTCTGTCTATTTTGTTCTTCTTGCCATTATCCATATTACAAATTTTAAAATGACTCATTTAATCAAATTTTATGAAAGGTATTTGAATACCAAGTACGGTTTACTGGACAAATTCTCTAGCATACTCTCTTGATTTTGTGTGAATGACCCACAATTAGTGGTTGAGATACTGTTTGTTCTAGTGGCCCATTTTTAGAAGCTGGACTGCTGCTTGTACAATCGAAGAGAGTGTGAGAGAGATGATTGTTTGTTTTCTTCTTCCTAAACTTGATTTCAAGACATTGCTTTTTATTTGGAGGATGCCTTCTTTCAGTAAAAGGCAAAATCGGGAGGAATTTAGGTTGTAATTCTCTTCTGATTCAAATTTCTCACAAATTTCACTGTTCTTATTGATTGGAACGAAGAAACAAGCCTCTCTCAGCCATTTTGATGAACCGCATTTTGTGGTTTCGGATTTTGGAGGGAGAGACAAATATCTGAGTCAAATGTCAAGAAATGTATTGGTTGTAGTTTGGAAGAGAAAAGGGATGGAGATTAAAAAATCTGGTGGAAGGCCCTAATGAAGCCTCTAGCCTTTCTTCATAGCATATGTTATGGTACAATGGAGGGTTTGGATCTAGTGACAAAGAGCTCGTGGATGGCCCTAATGAAGCCTCTAGCCTTTCTTTATAGCATATGTTATGGTACAATGGAGGGTTTGGATCTAGTGACAAAGAGCTCGTGGATGCCCTAATGAAGCCTCTTGTTTCTCTTTCTCTGTCATTCATTATCTTCCTCTCACTCACTCTCATTAATCAAAGGACAAAACTAGGTGGCTTCAAAACTAGGTGGCTTCATGTCAGTTTCTCACATTGAAGCTTCAGGATATTTTCTTTGACAAGGTTAATGACTTTTATTGATAGGGTGCTGAAATAGAAAAGCTTCAGGATATTGTCCATATGTTGTCCAATTATACTGATAAGGGTACTGGTGGGTACACCTTTAGGAGCCGTTTGGACATCTTGCTAACAACAATAATCAACCCTTGCCTTACCTACCTTTATGAGCACACACCCCTCATGAGTATCACACATTAATCATGAAATTTAGTGATTAAAAGATCATGTGGCCCACTTGGGCCTTGCCCGAGTTGGCCCGATTTGCATCCAGACAATTTCTAGGAAAATAAACTTCAATTGCTCGACTCTCATCATTTAATTCCTTGTCTACTCGAACTCGCCTGAGTCGAACTCAACTACTTGGGATGGTCGCCTAAAAGTGAGTCCACCTTTTTCAAGCACATCGAATATTATCAAAGTTTGGAAATGGGGGTGGGTCACAGACGGTTAGGAGGCGGATGCCTCAACATAAAGCTACTCCATTCCTAAAGTTAACATATAAAAAAAAAACAACAAAAAAGAGTAGTATAAAAGTTTTTTTCTGCATGCAAAAGCAGAACAGTTTCTTTTCTCTCATAGGTGTCGGCAAAAGCCCATTTAGTAGGTAGGGGTGGCAACCGGTCGGGTCCATGTATGGACCTGGACCCTATTGGACCTAACTCAAAAATTAAAAGGTACAGTTTGCATACATACGGATGCATCCGTGGGTGTAGGGGTAAGGTACACCTTCAAATTTTATCATGCTATATAATTTTCATGTAAAATATTCTTAGGATTATCTCAAATCTATTTTTATATCTAATTATAAAATTTTAAATTTCAAAAATGGTTAAAATCAAGTAGATCTATAAACATATGAAATTATTGAAAATGGGCAGTGTATATAATATGTTGTAAAATA